AATTTACCCATTACCCCATCCAGGGTAAAGTTTACCCAAGATGAAAATTTTCGGTCAATGATGCGGCCCCTACGATTTTCTTCAAAATGGGCATCGTGATACTACAGGCCCAGATGACTAATCTGGCCGAAGAAACCCCTATGGGCATTGAAATCTATGGGGTAAAAACGCCCTTGGAAAGTTTTACCCACGCATTTCTGGCAAGACTATCGCACGCATCCCCCCAATATGGGTATCATATGAAAGCCCATGAAAATCCAAACAAAATGGTGGGGTAAAATTTATCCATTACCCCATCCAGGGTAAAGTTTACCCAAGATGAAAATTTTCGGTCAATGGGGCGGCCCCTACGATTTTCTTCAAAATCGGCATGGTGATACTACAGGCCCAGATGACTAATCTGGCTGAAGAAACCCCTATGGGCATTGAAATTTATGGGGTAAAAACGCCCTTGGAAAGTTTTACCCACGCATTTCTGGCAAGTGTATCGCACGCATCCCCCCAATATGGGTATCATATGAAAGCCCATGAAAACCCAAACAAAATGGTTGGGTAAAATTTACCCATTACCCCATCCAGGGTAAAGTTTACCCAAGATGAAAATTTTCGGTCAATGGGGCGGCCCCTACGATTTTCTTCAAAATCGGCATGGTGATACTACAGGCCGAGATGATCAATCTGGCTGAAGAAACCCCTATGGGCATTGAAATCTATGGGGTAAAAACGCCCTTGGAAAGATTTACCCACGCATTTCTGCCAAGTGTATCACACGCATCCCCCAATATGGGTATCATATGAAAGCCCATGAAAACCCAAACAAAATGGTGGGGTAAAATTTACCCATTACCCCATCCAGGGTAAAGTTTACCCAAGATGAAAATTTTCGGTCAATGGGGCGGCCCCTACGATTTTCTTCAAAATCGGCATGGTGATACTACAGGCCGAGATGATCAATCTGGCTGAAGAAACCCCTATGGGCATTGAAATCTATGGGGTAAAAACGCCCTTGGAAAGATTTACCCACGCATTTCTGCCAAGTGTATCACACGCATCCCCCCCAATATGGGTATCATATGAAAGCCCATGAAAACCCAAACAAAATGGTGGGGTAAATTTTACCCATTACTCCATCCAGGGTAAAGTTTACCCAAGATGAAAATTTTCGGTCAATGGGGCGGCCCCTACGATTTTCTTCAAAATCGGCATTGTGATACTACAGGCCCAGATGACAAATCTGGCTGAAGAAACCCCTATGGGCATTGAAATCTATGGGGTAAAAACGCCCTTGGAAAGTTTTACCCACGCATTTCTGGCAAGTGAATCGCACGCATCCCCCCAATATGGGTATCATATGAAAGCCCATGAAAACCCAAACAAAATGGTGGGGTAAAATTTTCCCATTACCCCATCCAGGGTAAAGTTTACCCAAGATGAAAATTTTCGGTCAATTGGGCGGCCCCTACGATTTTCTTCAAAATCGGCATGGTGATACTACAGGCCGAGATGATCAATCTGGCTGAAGAATATCCTATGGGCATTGAAATCTATGGGGTAAAAACGCCCTTGGAAAGATTTACCCACGCATTTCTGGCAAGACTATCGCACGCATCCCCCAATATGGGTATCATATGATAGCCCATGAAAACCCAAACAAAACGGTGGGGTAAAATTTACCCATTATCCCATCCAGGGTAAAGTTTACCCAAGATGAAAATTTTCGGTCAATGGGGCGGCCCCTACGATTTTCTTCAAAATCGGCATCGTGATACTACAGGACCAGATGACTAATCTGGCCGAAGAAACCCCTATGGGCATTGAAATCTATGGGGTAAAAACGCCCTTGGAAAGTTTTACCCACGCATTTCTGGCAAGACTATCGCACGCATCCCCCAATATGGGTATCATATGAAAGCCCATGAAAACCCAAACAAAATGGTGGGGTAAAATTTACCCATTACCCCATCCAGGGTAAAGTTTACCCAAGATGAAAATTTTCGGTCAATGGGGCGGCCCCTACGATTTTCTTCAAAATCGGCATGGTAATACTACAGGCCGAGATGATCAATGTGGCTGAAGAAACCCCTATGGACATTGAAATCTATGGGGTAAAAACGCCCTTGGAAAGATTTACCCACGCATTTCTGCCAAGTGTATCACACGCATCCCCCCAATATGGGTATCATATGAAAGCCCATGAAAACCCAAACAAAATGGTGGGGTAAATTTTACCCATTACCCCATCCAGGGTAAAGTTTACCCAAGATGAAAATTTTCGGTCAATGGGGCGGCCCCTACGATTTTCTTCAAAATCGGCATGGTGATACTACAGGCTCAGATGACCAATCTGGCTGAAGAAACCCCTATGGGCATTGAAATCTATGGGGTAAAAACGCCCTTGGAAAGTTTTACCCACGCATTTCTGGCAAGACTATCGCACGCATCCCCCCAATATGGGTATCATATGAAAGCCCATGAAAACCCAAACAAAAAGGTGGGGTAAAATTTACCCATTACCCCATCCAAGGTAAAGTTTACCCAAGATGAAAATTTTCGGTCAATGGGGTGGCCCCTACGATTTTCTTCAAAATCGGCATTGTGATACTACAGGCCCAGATGACAAATCTGGCTGAAGAAACCCCTATGGGCATTGAAATTTATGGGGTAAAAACGCCCTTGGAAAGTTTTACCCACGCATTTCTGGCAAGTGTATCGCACGCATCCCCCCAATATGGGTATCATATGAAAGCCCATGAAAACCCAAACAAAATGGTGGGTTTAAATTTACCTATTACCCCATCCAGGGTAAAGTTTACCCAAGATGAAAATTTTCGGTCAATGGGGCGGCCCCTACGATTTTCTTAAAAATCGGCATGGTGATACTACAGGCCGAGATGATCAATCTGGCTGAAGAAACCCCTATGGGCATTGAAATCTATGGGGTAAAAACGCCCTTGGAAAGATTTACCCACGCATTTCTGGCAAGACTATCGCACGCATCCCCCCAATATGGGTATCATATGATAGCCCATGAAAACCGAAACAAAATGGTGGGGTAAAATTTACCCATTACCCCATCCAGGGTAAAGTTTACCCAAGATGAAAATTTTCGGTCAATGGGGCGGCCCCTACGATTTTCTTCAAAATCGGTATCGTGATACTACAGGCCCAGATGACTAATCTGGCCGAAGAAACCCCTATGGACATTGAAATCTATGGGGTAAAAACGCCCTTGGAAAGTTTTACCCACGCATTTCTGGCAAGACTATCGCACGCATCCCCCCCAATGTGGGTATCATATGAAAGCCCATGAAAACCCAAACAAAATGGTGGGGTAAAATTTACCCATTACCCCATCCAGGGTAAAGTTTACCCAAGATGAAAATTTTCGGTCAATTGGGCGGCCCCTACGATTTTCTTCAAAATCGGCATGGTGATACTACAGGCCGAGATGATCAATCTGGCTGAAGAAACCCCTATGGGCATTGAAATCTATGGGGTAAAAACGCCCTTGGAAAGATTTACCCACGCATTTCTGGCAAGACTATCGCACGCATCCCCCCAATATGGGTATCATATGATAGCCCATGAAAACCCAAACAAAATGGTGGGGTAAAATTTACCCATTACCCCATCCAGGGTAAAGTTTACCCAAGATAAAAATTTTCGGTCAATGGGGCGGCCCCTACGATTTTCTTCAAAATCGGCATCGTGATACTACAGGCCCAGATGACTAATCTGGCCGAAGAAACCCCTATGGGCATTGAAATCTATGGGGTAAAAACGCCCTAGGAAAGTTTTACCCACGCATTTCTGGCAAGACTATCGCACGCATCCCCCCAATGTGGGTATCATATGAAAGCCCATGAAAACCCAAACAAAATGGTGGGGTAAAATCTTGGGTTAACTTCACCCTGGATGGGGTAATGGATAAATTTTACCCCACCATTTTGTTTGGGTTTTCATGGGCTTTCATATGATACCCATATTGGAGGGATGCGTGCGATACACTTGCCAGAAATGCGTGGGTAAAACTTTCTAAGGGCGTTTTTACCCCATAGATTTCAATGCCCATAGGGGTTTCTTCAGCCAGATTAATCATCTGGGCCTGTAGTATCACCATGCCGATTTTGAAGAAAATCGTAGGGGCCGCCCCTTTGACCGAACATTTTCATCTTGGGTAAACTTTACCCTGGATGGGGTAATGGGTAAATTTCACCCCACCATTTTGTTTGGGTTTTCATGGGCTTTCATATGATACCCATATTGGGGGGATGCGTGCGATACACTTGCCAGAAATGCGTGGGTAAAACTTTCCAAGGGCGTTTTTACCCCATAGATTTCAATGCCCATAGGGGTTTCTTCAGCCAGATTAGTCATCTGGGCCTGTAGTATCACGATGCCGATTTTGAAGAAAATCGTAGGGGCCGCCCCATTGACCGAAATTTTTCATCTTGGGTAAACTTTACCCTGGATGGGGTAATGGGTAAATTTAACCCCACCATTTTGTTTGGGTTTTCATGGGCTATCATATCATACCCATATTGGGGGGATGCGTGCGATAATCTTGCCAGAAATGCGTGGGTAAATCTTTCCAAGGGCGTTTTTACCCCATAGATTTCAATGCCCATAGGGGTTTCTTCAGCCAGATTGATCATCTCGGCCTGTAGTATCACCATGCCGATTTTGAAGAAAATCGTAGGGGCCGCCCCATTGACCGAAAATTTTCATCCTGGTTAAATCATGCTTTTGGTTAAATTGATCCGGTATTTAACCATATCATTAGGTCCGGGGTGAAGAGATCTTTCAAATGGTGATCTTATTTTTCAGTTTCGTCCAGCTGTTTAGGCGTAAAACGGTTTTTAGATTTTTCCCTAGATTTCTAGATTTTTCCCTAGATTTGGCAGCCCCAATCTGGGCTGGGCCGAATGTGGGCTGAATGTGGGCTAACTTCCGTTACATCGAAGATTCTACGCCGTCCGGCCCAGGGTATATTGAGTGAATGGGGTATATTGGTCCGGCCAATCACGTTCCATAACCGCAGCCGAGCCCCCGCTGACCTTGGACGGGATTGGCCAGACGACGTAGAATCTTCGCCGTCCGAGAGACATCGAACGCGGGGTGTGTTTTTGATGTTATTTATCGCTGATTACTCTAGGGCGCCCCCTTTAGAAGGGTGGTTATTTCAGCCCAATTGAAATATCTCGATTTGTTTGTACAGAACTAGGCCCTGAACCTGAAGTCAAAGCTTTTCTTCAAAAAATCAGGCTTAACGTGATTCGCAAAGAAATCGTATATTGATATCAATATCAATATAAGAAAAGGTTAGTTCAAGAAGCGCTGTGGGTAGTTAGGTAATCAATTCAAATTGGCTTCCTGTGTCTTCAGTTCAAACGCAATATGAATACCAATTGATTCAATATTGAACATATGGAATCATTAAAGGAAAAGGGCCACCTTTAACATGGGGATTGAAACTGAGATAGCCATCTTGTAGCCCGTGTCCGAAAACCTATCTGTCTACCTCCTTACGGCCGATTTCGGCCTCCATTCGTAGTTATCGGCAATTTTAAAAGAAAATACGCCAGGAATGCGTCCTTATCCCAGGAATGCGTTCTTATCCGACAATACAGCCACCCGCGGCGAGGCTTTGGTTTTTTACCAATCAGCTCCAACCAGCTCAGCTTTAACCAATCAACTTATCTGACACAATCCGACGAGTCTGTCTTCTGAACGCTGATTGGCTTGAGTGTGACGTCATCGCTATGCCATCATACAGTAGGTGCCGTAGAGAGTATCAACGTAGTACCAATATGTTAAATAGTTTTAAATACTTTTTAGCGAATTGTGCACTTCTGGCACCAGTTTTAAAAAGAAAATGAAAAATAATAATGTCAAAATGAAAAACAACGATGTCTTCATATTTCACGAAGGTGGCCCTTTTCCTTTAATATAACGAGGCTTGAAATGATCTCACGCATGTCAAAGTGTTTTATTTTAGGCAAAATAAATATCTAAAACAGTAAAACAAGCTTTCGGCATTACGCTCTAAACTTGATGATGGTGTTATGCCGAAAGCTTGTTTTACGTCTGTTTTAGATATTTATTTTGCCTAAAATAAAACACTTGGACATGCGTGAGATCATTTCAAGCCTCGTTATATTAATCAAAATCATGTCATCCATCCTCGCCCACATAAATATGGAATTATCAGTAATAATCAGTTGTATTGCAAATCAGTGGTAGACAATTAAGTATTTGCCCTGCGTTTGATGTCTCCCGGACAGCGAAGATTCTACGCCGTCTGGCCAGTCGCGTTCCATAACCGCAGCCGAGCCCCCGCTGACCCTGGACGGGATTGGCCGGACGACGTAGAATCTTCGTCGTCCAAGCATCCAATGCAGGGTTGATTAAGACATTTTTGTTTTTCAAACGTGATGTTCATGGCACATGGTCATGGCTCATGGGCAGACAACAGACCTTGGGTCAGGCTTCAAATTATGGCAATATTGATGTAAATGAGTTTTTGTTGTTGCGGGGCTGTTCACAGGTGTTGTGCTGCATGCACAGTTACTCTGGTGCAATGCAGAATTTGCTTGGAGTAGGTACCGTAAAACGGGGTGTTAAGGGACAGTTTTGACTTTTGAGGTGTTTTGTTATATAACTCAAGAAGGGTTGGGGATAGAAGCATCAACTTGTCAGCATTTTATGTGGAATTTGGTGCTTTACATGCCTGCTACATTAAAGTTTTAAAAATATATACATGCATATTATTTTTTATTATTTTTCATCGCTGTCCCTTAGCACCCCAATGTGGGGTGTTAAGGGACACCTATATTTTTTTAAGAAATGGTCATTAAATGCCCACAATTGGGGTGTGAAAGGGCACACAATTTATTTATTGAAATGTTTTGAATATTTTGTCACAAAACAAGTCAGGTTCATTCACCACTAATGGCCTTTTTAGCCAATTACATGTAATGCAGTTTACGCCTCTGGAAAATGTGCTAACTATGAGGTAAATAGAACCAAAAAGTACCCTTCTGTCAACAGAAACCCATTTTGAAGCTAGTCACTTGTCATTATGTTGCCCTCTTTGTTTTGGCCTTTTTATGATGACATCACATTTACCTACATCAGTCTTCATTGACCCATCATTGTTAAAGATAGTGTTAAGGGAGTTTTGAGGTGTTTTGTTATATAAATTAAGATGTGTTAGAGATGAAAGCATGAATTAGCCAGCATTTTATGTGGAATTTGGTGTTTTCCATGCCTACTGAAAGAAAACTTTATGAAATTATATTTATATATTATTTTTATTTTTTTCTTCCCTGTCCCTTAGCACCCCACATCCACCTCAAAATATGCATGTGTCCAGAAAAGAGGAAGAGGATGATGAATGAATGGGTGGATTTGTATAAGTTTTTCAGGAAACATGTGCAATACATGTGACAATACACCTATGCATTCATTTTACCTGTGCACCTTCTAGTTTATGTGGTACACACAGAGTTTTCGAGATGTCTCAATTTTGTGAAAATGTAGCATGATTTTCAAAACCATTTTTGAGCCAAATCACTTGCATGAAAAACCATGCCATTTTGTCTTTTAGTCAAGAACAAAACAGTGTCAACTACCACACTCAAGTTTTTATTCAACCTTCTCAAATTAGGAACTTAACATGACTCAAAGTTTTTCCCACGCAACTGTCCCTTATCACCCCACTGTCCCTTAACACCCCATTTTACGGTACTGACATTTAGTTCATTGAGTTGACATGACCGGGGAGGTCAGCTCATGATTTAGGTCAGAGTATCATCAAGTTAGGCATTGTTGGCTGATGGCTTCCTCCCATCACAAGTAATAGGTACTACAGTCTGCAGAGGCCCCAAAAATAAACAAAATAACAGTCCAATATCTAACAACAGTGAATATTTTTGGTCAAATTTGGTAAATATTCATTTTGCTCTTTCTGAACCACAGTACATTACTTTCATACCAGTTCATTAAATTTTAGAAGGCGGCTGGGAGGGTCCCTTTAAGTCTGTCCTGTAGGTAGCTCAGTTGGTAGTGCTGGATAGTTGACTCCCGTTGGTGAATGCCTGGCGGCTGGCCTTGTGCCTCATACCACCGGTCGCCCTGGCTTTTCAAATTCACCTGGTACCTCTTTGATTTGTTTTCCAGGTTGATGCTGTCATGGCGAATGTGTTGGGAGCTGTTGCTACAGGTCTGGCAGTTTTGGCCGTCACAGTAAACTTTTCACTGCATAAAATCGAAGAAGGTCATGTCGGAGTCTATTTCAGGGTAAGTGAATGAATTTACTTTTGTTAGTGGTAATTAAATGCAATATAGGATTGTGTAGTCATTTTACTTTGCTTGTTATGACAATGTCTATGCAACTATTATGAACAATTCGTGGTTAATTGGGGTCCTAATTAAACATTTTTAGTTTGGTTGTCCTGCCTGAAATCGGGTACCTACCTACTTTATAAGGCGCTGTTTGGTTACGTTTTTTTTTTCTATCAGAATGTTGCCAGTTTGGTGGCGTGTTCCGACTTGTTATTGTTCAAAGTCATGTGGTCTGTGTCAATAATGAGAGGCCAAGAAATGCCATTCGATATAAACACATGGAATGTTGGCGGTGTGCCAAACACCGCCAAGACAAAATACCTGATGTGTCTTGTTATGGTGCATTCAAGAAGCTCTAGCTCAATTGGGACGAAACAGCGAGTGGATCGCATCCCTACCCGATCGTCGTCATATAGGAAACCGATAGCTTCGGGGGTGTCGCGGAGGCGCGGATGGAGAGACGACCGAGCGGGCCGAGACTTGTATTGCAACTGTGGTTCTGATTCTGATTCGCCAGTGCCTGTGCGTTATATGCAGGGTGGTTGCACAATGAAGGACCGGTCCGCCGACCCGCCGGGTCGGTGGACGGTGCCGACACGTGGGGAAAGTGACGGCTATTTCTATATAACAAAGCTTGCACGTGTACTCTCTTTATCATGATATGGAAGAAGGGAATCGGTCCCACATTATCTTCCCTCCCCCAGGGAAGCGTAGGGAACCGAAGCGATCATAACAAAGAGAGGAAACGTTTAGCTGACGGAGAAAGAAATTTCCATATGAGCGTATCACAAAATGGTATGAACAGATAAGTAAGTTTCGTGACAATTACACCTACTACCGGGCGATCCCTCCGCACTCTTGGCGGGGACCGTCCCTGGGCATCTCCATGGCCCTCGGCATCTCTGGCCGAATATCAATACAATATAAATTCAGTGAATTGACCACGATTAACGTATTTGAATGTTCATACCGACTTCAGAATATGCTCTTTTTATGCTTATTAGTGTCAAAGTGACACTGCAAAATGCAGGCAAAAATTAAGTGCATTTGCAATTTCTCCGTAAATTTTGGGGTGAGCAACCACAATGAAGCACAACAAACGACAGAACACTGACGAAAACGGATAATGAAACAGTATGGTTTTTGAAACACATCGAAGTTAAAACAAATTTCACAGCACAATTTCACTGTCACTTTTTAACGAAAATACAGCAAAAGTTCATAATGGGTGAATTGTCTTGATTTTGGGTGTCAATTTGTCTTGAATTTAGCGTTGATATTTTTTTTTTCTTCTCTTCTCTCCTCCGATCTTGAGTCCTTCAGCGAGGTGGCGTCCATCACTCGATGATGCTGAGGAGGACGGCGCGGGCTGATGAGCCGTGCGCTGTCGGCGGGCTCCGTAGTAGTCCAGGGTAGCTGATGACGTTGCCGCATGGGCAGATGGTATTGCCGGGCAGAGCTACTCACTGGAGACGGTGATGTCGGACGATGACGAGTCCAGGATGGTCAGCTCCCTAGTCGATGACGTGACGTAGGGGCGATACACTGTCACGGAGCACGGACTAACCAGTCTGCGATGCACCCACCGCTGCCACCATTGTCGCGGAGGCGCGGATGGAGAGACGACCGAGCGGGCCGAGACTTGTATTGCAACTGTGGTTCTGATTCTGATTCGCCAGTGCCTGTGCGTTATATGCAGGGTGGTTGCACAATGAAGGACCGGTCCGCCGACCCGCCGGGTCGGTGGACGGTGCCGACACGTGGGGAAAGTGACGGCTATTTCTATATAACAAAGCTTGCACGTGTACTCTCTTTATCATGATATGGAAGAAGGGAATCGGTCCCACAGGGGGCGTACTTTTCTCATTTTCCGATGTGTGATCTCATGGCCAAAGGTAATGGTTGCTTGAATTATCCATTTAAACTTAAACACAGGTAAATCTACTCCTGATCTGACCCATTGACCACTGTGATGTTTTGACCTTTTGCTTGACCTGCTCTGACCTCACTTTGACCTGGGCTGACCTTACATTGACCTGAGCCGACCCAAACTCGACTCGGCTGTGACCAGCGATGACCGTGCCGGCAGGGCGGCGCCCTTCTGCAGCAGACCAGTCAGCCTGGTTACCATATGATGATTCCGTTCATCACCGCCTATCGCTCCGTCCAGGTGAGGAAATGTTACCGGACACTGTTTATCCCTGACCCCCTTTCTCCCCAATGGTTTGGATAGCTGCTATTTAATAGAAGCTATGACTATACAATCCTGGCAATCTCTGTTAGACCTGTGTACTGTGTAGACCTGGCAATCTCTGTTAACCCGCGCGGGGCTGGGGTCTCCAGCCGAACGCGCGGGGCTGGGGGGGGGGGTAAATTTTACCCCCCTGTTATCTCCCGAACTAATGGTCCGATTTGGAAAATTCAAACGCCAATCGAAAGATCTCATCACGAACAACTAAAAACATGTACTTAATTTTAAGTTTGAGGTCAAGGTCAAGGTCAGGTCAAGGGTACAAATTGCAAGTTCCTACAGTATCGGCCTTGCACCGTAGTTGCCGAAGAATGGAGTCATGGACTGAGATTGATCTCCCAAAACGTGTTCTTAGGCTACCAAGACAATATTCGTTGCATACAATATCATTCAGAGGTCAAGGTCAAGGTCAGGTCAGGTCAGGTCAGGTCACCAAAAACAAAATATAGAAAAGGGCATGTGCGACACATGTTTTATGGGTCATTTTACTCATAGAATTCAATAGGCACACTCAATAAGTGATATCGACCACCTCTGGATGAATTTCAGGTCGAGGTCAGGTCAAGGTCAGGTCAAGTGAGGTCAAATTTTAAAGTTGGTTGCTAAGGCCTAAAAAGGTGTCTATCCGATGCAGTTTTTCACGGCGAGTCGAATGGTGCTATTTTCGTTTCCGTACGAGGTCTAGAACTTCCAAAAAAAGTCATTTTTCAAAAATTTTGTGTGTCGTGACGTCATACAATTTTGAATAACTCCCACATTTTTGAACCGATTCTTCTAAAACTTGGTATGTAGGTACACATAGACCACTTCTCTGACATATATTCCGGTTTTTTCGATACACTCAAAATTTTGGATTTTATAGCTATTTTCCCAAAAAAGTCAGTTTTTTGGAAAAATTTGGGCCAAAATCCAAAATTTTCAAAAAACCGAGATAGCCATTTGATAGACAAAGTAGAATTACGTATATCCTTTTTTGTTACGTCTTGATTCCTTTAAAAATGAAGATGTTAGCGGCGTTTGAACTTTTGCCGTTTTTGAGGCGAAAATGGCGAACATGACGTCACTAAAACGTCAATTTCTCAAAAATTTTCCGACGGATTTCATTCAACTTTTCAGGGAACGTGTCAAATTGATGTAAGAAAAGGTACTGAAAGTTTGGCGGCGCTGCGCGCCGCCGTTTTTGAGATATTGCAAAAATTCGCGAGGGGGGGGGTAAAATTTACCCCCCCCCCAGCCCCGCGCGGGTTAAGAGACGCGGAATCTTTCGAGTTCTGGTATAGGTGTTGCTAGTGCTGATTATGCTTAGAAGAGACAAAGCATTTTAATTGTCTTGTAATTTGTGGTGCATGTTTGAAGTTTTTAATCATGCTTGTTTCGGTAATTGGTTGGCTGTGAATTGAATTTACTGTATGCCTGGCCTATTCAAATACATTAGCCTGAGGGGTGTGGTAATAACTGGTGTAAGCAAAGTGACCACGGTCAAAAACGAATTACCAAGTCAACATTTTGGGATGTCCTCGTTCAAAAAACGGCTAAGAGCTTCGGTCTAGACAATTATTTTATCGTTGGCATACAGTAAAATACATACCAATTTTACTCTGAATTTACTGAATTTCTGAATTTACATACTCTGAATTTTATTTCTCTTCTAGCAACCAGATGAGGTACTGCACTTAATTCAGAAAGCAACCACAGAATCATGATAAGACATATATATACCTGACACACAGACAAGGTCTGTTACAGAACATGTTTCATAGACCACCTCCCATTGGGGCGTCACATCTAACTTTGTCCGCTGTTGTTACAGGTGACCCTACAAACTGACGAGGTGACCAACGTTCCGTGCGGAACCTCGGGTGGCGTGATGATCTACATCGACAGGATCGAGGTGGTCAACTGGCTCTCTCCGGACGCAGGTCCGTGGACGCAGGTCTTGTAACGCAGGTGACAAGGCCGTATTCTTCCTCAGCTCATTGGTGTAAATGGTCATCTGAGCTCTTCGCGAAGGCATTTCGAAGGCATTGATAGCTTTGATGTTATGTTCAGAAAGTCATCATGGATATTTCTCCGAAGGCTCAGTGTGACCAAAAAACTGTTTTGAGCGCTCTTGTGAACAGTGATGTGAGCATGCGCTCTAGATATAGGGTTGTGTGGAATCGGGCACTGTTGGCAGTGTAAAGTGGTTCTGTCTCATTTACAATTGGACCATGAGTCCGTAAATACAGTTCTCTCTCTCTCTCTCTCTCTCTCTCTCTCTCTCTCTCTCTCTCTCTCTCTCTCTCTCTCTCTCTCTCTCTCTCTCTCTCTCTCTCTCTCTCTCTCTCTCTCTCTCTCTCTCTCTCTCTCTCTCTCTCTCTCTCTCTCTCTCTCTCTCTCTCTCTCTCTCTCTCTCTCTCTCTCTCTCTCTCTCTCTCTCTCTCTCTCTCTCTCTCTCTCTCTCTCTCTCTCTCTCTCTCTCTCTCTCTCTCTCTCTCTCTCTCTCTCTCTCTCTCTCTCTCTCTCTCTCTCTCTCTCTCTCTCTCTCTCTCTCTCTCTCTCTCTCTCTCTCTCTCTCTCTCTCTCTCTCTCTCTCTCTCTCTCTCTCTCTCTCGCTCTCTCGCTCTCTCGCTCTCTCGCTCTCGCTCTCGCTCTCTCGCTCTCTCTCTCTCTCTTCATGATCTTCTTCAAGTCATGATCTTCTGAGCTCGCCGCTGTAATTAGTCATAGATGAAGCGCATTTGACTTGTTAACTGAATTATTAGTACCACGCCTTTAATTGAAATTGAAAGGCATGACGCTGTTGACGAAGCATTACCTATGTCAAGTCCTGTCAACTTTTCTATTTGTGACGTAGATTGAGATAGATATCCACGGCATTATTAACTTGTTTTGTTGCTTGCAAATGTAAGTAGGTACGTAGCATTTTAATGGCATCATTTGCATTGTCATCCTTCACAAGGCTGATGCATATTTCATTGTTACACTACTGCTCGACATTTCGGTGTCTTTTATTAGCTAACAGAAGCACTGACGATAACCATCATTTTCAGTGCACAGCATCGTCAAGAATTACACAGCAGATTACGACAAGACGCTCATCTTCCACAAGATTCACCACGAGTTAAATCAGTTCTGTTCGGCACACACCCTGCAGGAGGTAAGTCAGCCTTTCTTCTGGATATGTAGTGTGTTCTTGTACTCCCTGACCCTATGAGCTTTGTCCCCTTGACTGATATTGCCATTTTTATTAGCTTAGGCGGCATTATTAAATTGGTGCAAGAAAGTGTTATAGCGAATAGAGTCTCTACTCTCTGTCTACTGCGATTTGTTTATCGGTGATATAACAGTTTGCACTTAGTAGTAGCTTAGTAAGTATTCAATGCAAGCTTTCAGCTCGGTAAAAACCAGACCTGCGGAGTCGGAGTGTGAGTTGTAGTCGACAGCTCTGCCCAGAGTGGGAATCGACGTCACCGAAAATCCATCGACTCCGCAGCCCTGGACAAAACAGTGCTTAAGGGTGCGTTTCACGCGTAACGCTATGAGAAACGTTTTTCGTAAATAGCTAGAGCATCGTTGCTTCGATTGCCTTTGTTTTTGGATATTTTATGAAGGACGTTAACCTCGTCATCACAGAGTGGTTACCGTTGTTCTGCAATCCACATATACTGAGCAATTTAGACAAACATATTGCAAAATCAAAATTTCAAACGAATAGAACTCAATAACGGATTGTCGTACGACTGTGATGTTTGCAGTTTTGGACTGACGAAGTCAATGAAAACATTTCCTAGCAAGCCTTTTTTCAAATTTTGTACTATGTTTTGCATGATACAATTTTCATCTTGCAGTGCATTGCATGAAAGCCATGACAACAATTTCAAAAATGTGGCTGCTAGGAATCATAAAGACATCAATTCTCTACACAATCCTGTAGAGTGAATCATCATTGCATGCATCACTATGCAGTTCTATTCATTTGAAAGTCATTGCACAGCTATAGTTCGTTTTTTTTTTTTCAAAAGGACGCTGGCTCCAAGTATGTTTTTCGAACAAGCACGTGTTTTAGCGAGCAAAACGAGCAAAAACTGAACCTGAGAAAATCGAACGTCGACTAATTTTAACATGTGATTTCTTCCCGATAATTTCCATATGGGCGTTTTGGAAGCAGATATGATAACAGCGGTGACGTCATGCTGTCGAACATGTATTTCAATTTAACTTATGACTATCATGGACGGAACCGCTCACTCGATTATAAGCTCGGCAACAGTGAAAAACTAAGTTTCACTCAAATTCGTTGACACTTGTCCCACTGCACGGGCATTTGGGTGCCTGCTGGGGTGAGACTAAATGCTTACTTCGAAATCTAAGCTGTGTTGCGGCATTGGCGGTTATGTGTTGCGTGTATGCCGCATGATTAGTAAGTGGCGACCACTAAATTAAAGACTCAAACGCTCCAACCTGTTTTCAATGAATTACACTGCATACCAAAAATGCCAATCGCTCTCGTCATAAGATATTTAGATTTAAATAGCTAAGTAATCTGCATCATCATTTTGAACCAAATTAATGCTTTCAACTTAGTACTCACTCATTCCTTCCTTCGTTGGCTCCAAACAGTCTTTCGATTGTCTGGAAATCGTATGCCAAATCCGGAATCCCGCACCTGTATACGACTGGTGCATATAAAGGCCGATGTAAGAATTTCAATAGGCTCTCGCATGCGATTTCCTGGCTACCCAAAAAGTCTGTTTCAGTCATGCTATCAAAACATGGTATGTCAGCACTCAGCCCTGTCACCAGCTTATGACTGCTCTGCTTGTAGTGCCCCTGACCGTCACCGACTCCCTTCCCTCCTTAAAAGCCTAGTTTCCCTCCATCATCTCTACTAGATTTAGGTGATGCTCCGACAAATTCACAAACAAGACCGAACTTGTTCGGAGTTCGGACTGTTAACCCTCGCCCTTTAGGGGGGGGGGGGGGGTCGAACGGACTCCCCTCGGTTTTTCGTGAATAACTCGCGTAAAAAGCGGCCGATCACGACGTAACTTTTAGTACCCTCGCGTTGATCAATTTTACACCTACCCTGAAAATTTCATGACCCTGACGCAAATAACCTTTGACCTGTAACCTACTTTTCGAGACCATGTTTGGCCGGAACCGCGATTCAGCGTATGTCGGCTCGCATTAGCAGCGCGTTTGCAGTCTTTTCGTAGTTTCAAGCGTTCAAACATGTGATATGATGTTGCCCCCATGCATTAGGGTGGGTGTCAAGGTCACCTGAAGGTCAGGTCAGGTCATTGACCTTTGGTGACCTCGGTTCACTTTTTCGAGTTTGACATGTTTCTAGGCCAGTTTTTCGAGCTGAATTCGAATTTAGCAACCACATGAACGTTTACAACAGTGGTCGGCAGGTCATTCGGGGTCGTGCCCCCTTTTTGGGCGCCAGGCAGGGCCATTACCCCCACCTACCAGACCCCATTGCTGACACAACTATGTTTACTGAAATTCCATACCGTCCTGGAACTCTTTGGGTATTTGTGCATTTCCAATGCATCAAATTTAAAACATGACACTTCCTCCACAAAACATTTAATGCCTATATCCCAGTAGCGGCGGAACACCTTCAATTAAGGGGGAGGGGGGGGGGAGCACTGCCGACTTTTGGTCCCATTCTTTCCATGCAACGCCCATAGGGCTAATGTTAAAATGCAAAAATCAAAGGGTGCACGGTGCCCCGGTGCCCTCCCCGTTCCGCCGCCTATGCTATATCCCATTTAACCCTTGTACGTATAGGGGCGGCGGGTGGTTTTTCGTTAAAAGCTCACGTAAAAGGCATTGGATCACGACCAAATTGTACCCTCGAGCCCATCATTTTTTTTTTCACCAGCCCGGAAAATATCATGACCTGAGACCAGTTTTACCAACAGAAAAATAACCGCCTGCCGGAATTTTTGCCTCAAGACCGCTTCACATACGGAGCGTAAACGCGATGGTCTCGTAAGCGGATAGGGCTTTACCGTTTACGCTCCATATGTGAAACGATCTTTAGGCAAAAATTCCGGCAGGCGGCTATTTTTCTGTTGGTAAAACTGGCCTCTGGACCCATAATGACCGTTGGCTTATGAGCTTTTTCTGGAGATCATCTTGAGCCATAAAATCTCACTTCAAGAAGTTATAGCGGGTCCCGATTTTCTCGACACTTATCATTGCCCTCTTGAATGAGACGGAATGACCAAGGACCTTAAAAAATGGGCAGCAGCGGCTTCCTATGGTCACGGGTAGCACGCTCGTCTTTTTTATGCACAGCTCCATTTCAGAGTCCGAGAGGCCGCGGGGGTCCGATCGACTCCTCCCCCTTACGTTAGCGTCTGTTGAAACGCCAACAGACGGGCGACGGTTAAAAGTTGCAGCTGCTTTTGAACGACTGTACGGAGGGGTGTGATGGTAAGGCGAGCAGGTACGTGAAAATTGGTATCTAATCAATAGTGTGCTGTGCCTTTGGCCTGGGCTAATCTTTGAACCCTGGGATGCAGCAGTCACGATGGCTCCATCACTGGAGCTACAAACTCTAAAAAGATAGGCTTTCTCAGAATCCCTCATTACCCCCACCGAAAGGGCTCTATTACCCCCAAAGGGGGCATGCCCCACCATTTGCCGACCCCTGGTTTACAAAGTAGTTTTGGTGCCTTCGTAACATGTTACGAGGCTGTCAGAGGCGGTTGACACCTACTACAAATACCCGGCAGGACCTCTACTGGTTGACCTGACCTGACCTGACCCGACCTGGCCTGAATGAATGAAGACATCATCTGTGATCAAAACTAGCATGATATTCGTGATCAGCAACCTGAAAAACCCCATAGCAGCCACACTACGACGTTCTAACAGGTCCCAATTTTCCCGCCTTTTGGGTCATTGACCTGACCTGGAAGGTCAACCGATGACCCAGGACCTTAAAATTGGGTATCATCGGCTTCCTCTCGTCACGGGCAACACGCTCGTTTTTCCCGCGAAGCTCTAGCTTGATCAGGAGCGAAACGGCAAGAAGGGGTTATACCTTATACGTTCGCGGCTGGAAAAACACCAATACGGGCGAGGGTCAAGTTGAAAGTATTAATTTGATTCAAAACGATGATGTAGATAAGTAAGTTATTTAAATCTAAATATCCTATGACGAGAGCGATGGACATTTTTGGTATGCTGTGTTATCCATTGAAAACAGGTCAAAGCTATTGAGTTTTTAATTTAGTGGTCGCCGCTTACTAATCATGCGGCATACACGCCGCACATAACCGCCAATGCCGCAACGCAGCTTAGATTTTGAAGTAAGCATTTAGTCTCACCCGCCTGCTGCCACCAGTGACGTCATCATAGTATGTCCATTTTTAAGAAACAATTTCCAGCTACTTACCGTGCAAAATTTGAAATCGATTATTTTTTCCGATATATGCTGAGTTTTTTCAGGTATTTCTGATATAAACGTCCGATATATGCTGAGTTTTTATTTGATTATTTTTTCGGTAAGAAATTCTTGGCCAGACACTGAAGCTGCCAAAACTCACGTGAGAGCTTCGATATTGAACTTTGAGCCAGCGTCCTTTTGAAAATAAACGAACTATAGTTCATAAAATCGCCGAGAGATGTCTCTGGCTGTATGGCCCGCGCGTTTCGACGGTCCCCTCGGCCCGTCACTCAGCGGCGTTTGTTGACACAGTGTCACACCCATTAGTTACGGCGCTCCGCTGGCGTTTGGCCGCCGTCGAGGTGCCCTGAACCCTCCCTGCTAAGTTTCGCCGTGACCAGACGGGTCGGAGACTCATCCCACGATCTATCCATGAGCGGCGCCCAGCCAGGCGTCTCCTATCGCGCGCCTCTCACTCTTGATCCGGAGTGCGCCGGGAAGAGCTTGTGAGAAACTAACAACTTTGAAAGATGTCACAAGTTTGTGTGAGTGGTAAATTACGAACAGCGAACAGGTATATTTTGACAATAGGTATTTGACCTGACCTGGGCAGTCCGTAGCCCGTATTTGACCTGACCTGGGCAGTCCGTACTGAACATAAATAATGAAAATAACCAGCAGGCAGCAATGCCTACAAATTCCATGGAGATATTAGACCCTGAGTGACGTGAGACCGAATATCAGTTCGACTG